GCCGCCACGCTGTGTCTATATATTACATATGTACATATATGTGTGTATGTTTCTACGTACGTTTGTATGCCGCTTGCGCTATTTTACAGTTCAGTTGATATATTTCGCAATGTAAACATATGCCATATATCGAGTAATTAATTTTTTAATGGTAATTGCTTTCGATGGCCAACTTGTGTGTCTACGGCGTACGTATGTACAAATGTGTGTGCAAGGATACTTGCAAATACATTAGCGTTGATTTGTTAAATGCTTAAGTTATTTACTACCTAAAATTTAGTTATTTTTTCCTTTTTTTTTGTTTAGACTATCAGTTTATTAGCTTGAAATTGTTTTAAAAAATTTATTAAATATTTGCATATGAACTTTCCAGTTGCTTAGATGACGCTTATGCAAATATTTTATTATTTTTTTTGGCTTACTTATTGATACACACTACTAGAATGATATTTTTTTTGTTTATACGAAGCTTTTTTTTAATCGTTAATAGTGGAAATTGATATTTAAAAAAATTTCAGCATTTAATTTTTGAAATTTAGGCTTCCTCGTTGACAGAAAAGTGCTTCACAGGCCGACAAATGAGTATCAAATTTTCCTTGCCTTAAAATGAATTTTTAATTAATCGCTCGAAATGCCTTCATTTATGTAGAAGTCACCTTCTGCTTGATAAATATTAGCGGTTGCCTGTCGGCAGGGAATATATATATATATAAATATAAATAACTGCCATTGGTAACTACAGTTTATTCTGAGCCACCACCGAAAAGCCCATGAATTTTTATGTCGAGCTTTTATTTCATATTAGAAATATGCTCGGGGGGCCTGATATTCTCGGTCCCGAGAGGCAACTGCAATTAAAAAATTAACTTAACGTCTGCGCTCAACCTCAACAAAATATATGATGGGCGCACCACCTAGAGCTCAGCTTTTCTAACTACGGTTTATTTCAGCTTTAACATTTTCAATAAGTTCCCCTTGTATCAAAAATTTAGTACAAGATGTGCAGTTTAGGTGTAGTAAAAAAATATTTCTACTCAAAGTGTGCTGGAATAGTCAGTAGCGTCTACTTGACACCGTTATCACAATGCCTTGTGGAAAATTTTGCATAAAAACCTTGGTCTGAATGCTTATAAAGTGCTGTTGGTCCAATAACGGAAGCATCAGGACCATTCGATGCGTTTGACTACGCTTACTAGACCGAACATCGCTTGGCAGCAGACGAAAATTTTTATTTTGAAAAATCATAATATCCCATGAAGCTTATTTACACCTTAGCGGTTACATTAACAAGCAAAACTGTCGCATTTGCGGCTCGGAAATCCTTCACAGGATCATGGAAAACCCAAAACATTCTCAACGAGTAACTATTTAGCGCGGCATGTGGTCACGTGGTATTATTGGTCTATTTTTCCTTGAAAGCGAGGAAGAAGCTGTCCTTACCATTAATGACAAACTTTATCATACCATACTCAGGGTTTATTTATTTCCAAATGTCGGGGAGAATGACATGAACAAAGTGTGCTTTCGACTGTGCGGCGCTACATGCCAGCGTAACAAACGATCTTTTGTGTTGAATTAATTTCTATGGAGAGCTGTTTTGGATAGCTAAGACATGAACCATCGGAGCCGAGTTATTGTAGCCATAGACACACACTCGATGATATAATTAAAAATTGGTTGGACAGACGGAAGTGAATATGCTACAGCAGTCATGACAGCCAATTGAGTGGAGTGGCGTTCTATAAATAAACGAAATATTTAGGCACTACAATCAAGACAAAATCATTACAAAAACATTTATTCTGTTATTAAGTCCATCCGTTACATCCGTACTTTGTTATTATGCGAATACCTGAGAGCTTGTAAACCTCTAAACAATATCAAGATAAAAATATCTTTGCCGCACAAAGTAGTTGAAACCCCCAAAATTCTAATGCAAGACTTCTTACTAAGCTCCAAATGGAATACAAAACATTTCGGAGAAGTTTACTATTCAAAAGTCGTACACCTGAGAATGTCTTGCGCAATCTATTAACATCTTCAGCATATTCTCTGCATTTTAGCCTCCTCCTTACTAGTACTTCATGGTAATATCACCAGCTCTTGTACACCTTTTCATTAGCTTTTTATTAGAAGTCTGAAGCGTACTCCCCACTAGAGTTACGAGTAGCTAAAACCAGTCCAGATGATCTGCTCAGCTGGAAACATTTATGAAAATAAAGAGATTAGTGTTCTCTAAAACATGGCTTCATTAGAATTGTCTAAGTGGTTGGAGGAGAATGTTGAATGTACTCAAGTTCAAAAAAAATGGGCTTTACCCAACGCTATAAGAGACATCCGACGCTACGCAGAAGCCAACTGCGTACCTCTCAGGAGAGCATGGTTAGGAAGACGCAAACAGATCAGATAGTCAAATATCTGATCCGGAGCAAACAATAATCTTGAGCGGTGCTCTCCTATTTGGCCCAATGCCATGTTTTCAACGCTATTTTAGTTGATCATCCGTTGCATTCCAGAGCGAAGACTATTAAGCTTTACTTGGAAATTTTTTCAAAATATTGCATAATTCTCCAATTTCTCTTTAATTTTTACTTAGTACAATAAAATGCTGAAAAAAGAAAATTATAAAAATAAATTATGTACAAATTAACGTTAGATCGCTATAAAATCTGTCTGAATATTTTACACTCTATTCCACTGCATATAAAACTTGAAAATTATTACCGTAAGTCACCATAAGCAACAACAAATTTCTGCTCGTACATATGGATCGACAAATCGTAAATAAAGGCCAAAATTTATTCAATTTCAATGCATATAAAAATATTTGTGTACATATACACATATACTGCACTATACATATGTATAATATAATATAGATATATATGCGCATATGTATGTGTTTATTTGGAATAAAATATTTCACTCCTTTGACATCTTTACAGTTATTTTTATTATTTTCAAAATCAAATCGAACAAAAAGAAATCTGCTAATGTTATTTATAAGAATTTTTAAAAATAACAACTATACTGTTCTCTATGCCAATAGCATGCCTTCGACGCCAGCATGTAGTGCAACAACAACAAATTGAAAAAATAAAGCAAAAACATTGATATTAACGAAAAATATTTAAGCATTGATTCATCACACAAATTTTGTATTTAATTGCGTCGCCATTTTTCATAAAAATGATTTTTATTCTGTTCTTTTCTTCAGGTTTTTTTTTGTTTTTTTTTTTTGTTGAATATTAATGAGAAAATTTAGCAATAAAATCTTGAAAGAAAATGCATTAATTAAATGGTATTAGAAATGTTAAAATGTTAAAATGTACATTTATACATACATAATTAACTTAATATCGCGAAATATGAAATACATTGATTTTTAATCACACAGCACCAATCAAATTCATTTCTCCATATGCATATAAAGGGTGTTTTTTCAAACATGTGGTTTCAAGAAAAATTAAAACACAGATAATTTAATATTATGGTCAAGAGCTTATATATATATATGTTAATATATTTGGCGCTTTAAGAGCGCTGAAGCGATTGTGGGAGGAGGTCTCCAATTTGTGGCGTGTTTTTCTAACTAATGGAGCAATACACTCAGAGTGGTTAACATTCTCTGCTAAGGGGCTACCGCTATATGAAATTTTTTTTTAAATTTTGGACTCTAAGTCTAAGGCCTTCCGAGAGTGGCAGTACGCGAGGCTAACGCGGCCAAGGCTTTAGCTACAATACATTGTAAAGATAAGGTCTTAACATTATGCTTTAAAAGTTATTTTGGACAAGTGAGCGTTGCGGCTGGCTTCATCAAATACCAGCCGAGAGGCCCAATCCTCAATCACTTGTTATAGCATTTGTGTCTGTGCAACAGTACTAACGCGCCGAAAAGTCTCTTCTAAAGCGTCAATCGTCTTGGGCTTATTTGCGTAGACAAGCGGCTTCACGTAACCTCACTAAAAATACTCCAGCAATGTTAAATCGCACCAGCTTGGAGGCCACGCCACAGACCTCTGACACGTGATAATGCGCATATTAAAAGTTGCCTTCAATTAATTGATTGCTTCGTTGGCTGTAGGGCATTTAGCGCCGTCCACATCAACACAATCTCCAATTCAGTCATTAATCCTGGCCCTATAACGTTCGCCATTGACTTTAACATTATGTTCGGCTTCATTTTTGAAGAAATATGGACTCCCTGTGCCCATAGAGCACACCACACAGTGACTACTAAAGCATGTAACGGCGTCTCAACAATGGCTCGTGGATTATCAACGCTCAAAAAGCGGCAATTTCGTTTATTATTTTCCTCACTCATCCAAAAGTGCGCTTTATACTGAACAAATTATTTTTGGGATGATAGGGATCGGTGGCCATTAAGTTTTGGCCCCTTTTATCGATGATGCGATGCGCTTCATCGGTTCGTTCGGTTTCGATGCTTGCACGAATTGGATTTTATAAGCCCGCAAACCAAAATGCTAGCGCAAAATCTTCCATAAAGTTGATGGGTACAGATCCAAAAGTAGCCCGCGATGGCATACGGACTCATTCGGGTCTTCTTTGTTACTCTGCTCCACAGCAGCAATAGCGTTTTCAGAGTCAACGTGGTATAAAACCGAACCATGGTTGCTCGAATTATCGACTCTGCTGGGCGATTATGTCGAATCGAACCATTATTTTTGTTATAAATTTGCACGATTCGCCAACTTCGTGCCGGAGTAAGTCCGTTCATTATGAAATGGCAAAGCAAACTGAGTATAAATCAAGAAAAAATTGTAAAAGAGACGAACTCCGGAAAAAAGTATTTCTTTGAAGAAAACCCCACCCCAAACTAAATAAACAGAATAGAGGAAATTATAAAAAAATATAAAATATATTTTATTTATTATTATTTGTATTTATAATTTATTAAATTTTATTAAAACAACTTGAAAGCATTTAATTTTTTTTTTCATTAAAAGTAATCATTTTTTCTACTTCTTCTTCTCTTGCAGCCGAAGTCAAAATGCCAAGCGGTAAAGTAGACAAACCTGTCATTCAAGACAATCGCGACGGTACTGTGTCAATCAAATATGAACCCAAAGAGGAGGGTACACACGAGCTGGTCGTGAAATATAATGGCGAGCCCGTACAAGGTATAAATAAATTAACAATAAAAATAGATATTTTTGAATCAGTAATGGATGGTGGCCGAGCCACTATGTGAAATACGAAAGTCGCTGAAAACTCTGTACAATTAAATTTCCATGAGAGTTGTCAGAGGGTTCAGGACAAAATGCAGGCTTAGGAAAGTGCAACCGCTTTCTGCTTATGCGGTCCCAAAAGCACTGCAAGACAGTTTTATATTGGCAGAATGGGCATTAGTAACACTGACTCAGGGTGTCAGACAGTGTAAGACTTTGAAACACCTCTTCGACATTTAAGAGTTCCACTGCTCAATAGTCTGGAGTAAGTTACAAAAGTGTATGTCAGAGCTCTCTTAAACTTCACAAAACTGGATGGACATCCTACGCCACGACTACTTTTCTTCGAATTAAACAGAACTTCCAGTATAACCTAACCTAACCCATATCCCCTTTTCTAATTGCGATTAGCTTGGCATGTCCTGTATTTCTCACATGAAAGTTCCTCATAAGAAACCATCGGCCATTCAGAGGTGGCTTAGAATAAGCTGTAGGTCCTTCCATTTCTTGGAAAATATCTAGGAGGAGTTGCTTGACCTCAGCGGTTATTAAGCATCATTTATAAACATATAATCTTTGACTGTTTACCCAAAGCCAGGTTAACTTTAATCCTTGCTCTTCGTTAAGAAGTATACCAAAGTGTGACCGAAAGAGCCGGCTAAAGAAGAAAGAAGTTTCGAAATCGTAGAACAGCTTTATCTCTAAATTGAGTATATTGCTGCCTTCCCCTGGGACTCCTTCAAAGACCCCAGTACTCCCACTCTGGATAAAATACCCCACATATGGAAGCTACAATATACCATACTCGGAGCCTAAGTCTCAAGTTTGAGTTCATTAGTAATGCACTGCTCCAGAACAGATAAAAAAAAAATGGTTTGCTGCTTTCGTCTCATCCAGAGTAATAGACTTGAGCATCTAAGAAATTCAAGAAGGTGGCTATAATAGTCAGAGAAAGCAACTACAATACATTGTGCTGTACTTATCCGGCTAGAGACTTCTTTTCGGTTTTAGGTATTCCAGTAGCAGCCGAAAGACATACAAACCAGCTAAAGTCAAGTTACATTTCAAGTCCGTGTAGCTTCTCTTAATGAGACTACCACGTCCGGATTTTAAGGCTCATCTGTCCATGTCCAACTATACAAGTAAGACACAAAGATTTCGGCTAGTTTGATATGCTCGCAATTCCTTAAAGATCAAGTATCCAAACTAGCTTAGGTCACGTACTCGTAGATAACCCTGAGAAGATTATAAATAAGAACAGCGTATTTGCTCTTATTCACAAATTTCATGGCCCAATTTGGTCGTCTTTCAGGTTCACCATTCAAATTCCACGTCGATTCCATCACATCTGGTTATGTGACTGCCTATGGACCAGGTCTGACCCATGGTGTTACTGGTGAGCCATGTAACTTTACTATTTCAACTAAGGGCGCCAGCGCCGGAGGACTCACCATGGCTGTGGAAGGACCCAGCAAAGCTGATGTAAGTATCGAAGCCACACAAGCACCAAAAACTAAACAGAAATGAAGAATCCACATACTTACGCACACATTTATTCGCATAGATCAACTATCATGACAACAAAGACGGCACTGTGTCGGTGCAATACCTACCCACTGCCCCGGGTGAATATCAAATCTCCGTACGCTTCGGTGATAAGCACATAAAGGGTTCGCCATATTTCGCCAAAATAACGGGTGAGGGCCGCAAGCGTAATCAAATTTCGGTTGGTTCCTGTTCGGAAGTCACTATGCCCGGTGAGATAACCGATGACGATCTGCGTGCCTTGAATGCTTCCATACAAGCGCCTAGCGGTTTGGAGGAGCCGTGCTTCCTTAAACGTATGCCAACTGGCAATATTGGCATCTCATTTACGCCGCGTGAGATCGGTGCACATATGGTGTCGGTGAAGCGTATGGGTACACATATTGCGAACTCACCCTTCAAGGTTGACGTCTGCGAGCGTGAGGTCGGTGATTCAAAGAAAGTTAAGGTCTCCGGTGATGCTTTGACAGAGGGTAAAACGCACATAGAAAACGTGTTCAGTGTAGACACACGCAACGCTGGTTATGGTGGTCTGTCCGTATCGATTGAAGGTCCCAGCAAGGCAGAAATTCAATGCACAGACAAGGATGATGGCACACTGAACATCTCATATAAGCCCACGGAGCCAGGCTATTATATTGTAAATTTGAAATTTGCCGATCACCATGTGGAGGGTTCACCGTTTACCGTGAAAGTCACAGGCGAGGGCAGCAATCGCAAACGTGAGAAGATTCAGCGTGAACGTGATGCTGTGCCAGTTACAGAGATCGGCAGCAAGTGCAAATTGACGTTCAAGATGCCGGGCATCACATCATTCGATCTAATGGCCTGCGTTACATCACCCAGCAATGTGACTGAGGATGCGGAAATACAAGAAGTTGAGGATGGTCTGTACTCAGTGCATTTCATACCGAAAGAGTTGGGCGTACATACCGTTTCGGTACGCTACAAGGACATGCACATCCCCGGCTCACCCTTCCAATTCACTGTGGGCCCGCTACGTGACTTTGGTAGCCATTTGGTAAAGGCCGGCGGTTCAGGCTTAGAGCGCGGTATCGTTGGCGAACCTGCTGAATTCAATGTATGGACACGTGAGGCCGGCGGTGGCTCTTTGGCCATCTCAGTGGAGGGACCCAGCAAAGCTGAAATCGACTTCAAAGATCGCAAAGATGGTTCATGCGATGTGTCGTACAAGGTCAGCGAGCCCGGTGAATATCGCATCGGTTTGAAATTCAACGATCGCCATATACCCGAATCACCATTCAAGGTCTACATTTCACCCGAAGCCGGTGATGCGCACAAACTGGAGGTGCAACAGTTCCCACAAGGTAAAGTGAAACCTACAAATACTGAATGTTTGAATATTAAATACTGATTTCTCTCTCTCTCTCTGTTCTCTTCTTACCTACCAGGCAACATTCAAGCCGACGCACCCTATCAATTTATGGTACGTAAAAACGGCGCCAAGGGCACACTGGACGCCAAGATCGTTGCACCCTCCGGCAATGACGATGACTGCTTCATTCAAAGCATCGACAGCGAAATGTATTCCGTGCGATTCTATCCACGCGAGAACGGCATTCATGCCATACATGTCAAATTCGACGGCGTGCACATACCCGGCTCACCATTCAGAATCAAGGTCGGCAAGGATGTAGCCGATCCGGCTGCTGTGCATGCCACTGGCGCTGGTTTGGATGAAGTAAAGACCGGCCATAAGGCCGACTTTATTATAAACACTTGCAACGCGGGTGTCGGCACACTAACCGTATCCATTGACGGACCCTCAAAGGTGGCCATGGACTGTACGGAAGTTGAGGAGGGCTACAAAGTGCGGTACACGCCATTGCTGCCGGGCGAGCACTATATTTCGATCAAATACAATCACATGCACATTGTGGGCTCACCCTTCAAGGTGAACTGCAGCGGTAAGTTAAATCTCCAAGTGTCCCATTTGAGCGCTACACCACAAGCGTTATTATGATTATTTCATTTTTTTACCTTTCTTTTGTAATTCATAGGCGATAAACTGGCCGATGAGGGCGCACAGGAAACCTCCACCGTTTCTGTGGAGACCGTGCAAAAACTGGCTAAGGGCGGCAAGAACGTCGGCGTACACATGCCCACATTCAAATCGGACGCTTCCAAAATCACATCCAAGGGTATGGGTCTGAAGAAGGCGTATATGGGCAAGCAGAACAATTTCACGGTGAATGCCACCGATGCCGGCAATAACATGCTCTTCGTGGGCATGTACGGACCGAAGGGTCCCTGCGAGGAGTTCAATGTCAAACATACCGGCCGCAACAATTTCAATGTCAATTACATGGTACGCGATCGCGGTCAATATATACTCATAGTCAAATGGGGAGAAGAACATATTCCTGGTTCCCCATTCCAAATCGATGTTTAGGCTAAATGATATTGGTGATGATGATGACGATGATGATGATGACGATGATGATGATGATGACGGTTAAACTGTAAAAGTGCCTTGTGAATGGTGCAATTTTCTCTATTTATTTAATATACAAACAAACATGAAACAGACGCACCATGTGAAAAGCATAAAGAGCCAACACAAGAGTGAAAATAAAAATAAAAATTAAAATAAAAATAAAAATAAAAAGTAAAATTAAAATAAACTACCTTGCAACGCAAGTGCGAACAAACATACAGACATTTGTATGTAAATGTAGTAGTAAAGTCTAAAGAAATATTCATTTGCCTGTCATTATCAGAAGAAATGCCTTATCAACCGCTGGTCCAGTGCAAGGATTTGTAGCACAAATGAAAGGAAATTGCAAATTAAAACAAAAGATATCTCATTTCGAAAATAAATTTCTACTTTCATCTCGTTTCTCTCGGCGATCGAAATTATTTCCAATTACATACATACACTTATATTGCGAAATCTATGTAAATAAAAATTTGGAGAATTTATATAAAACAAAATTTATATGAATTAATTTAAAAGTTAAAAAAATAAAATTGCCATTTTCGGATAACGAATGCTTTTGTTACCCCCCAAAAGGGAAAAAAGCATTAATTAAATAAATGAAATTAAAAGTAAACTTTTGTTGCTTTGTGAAATTAAACATAATATAATGTGTTGAGAAATAAAAAAACCCTTACATACATACATAAATACATATATACACACTATAAATGTCCTATTTCATTGCCTATTTATAATGAGAGTAATTGTTTTTTAAGATATTGGTTTACATTCATAAATGCATTAATGTTCGAGCTGAAGAAATACTTTTTATTATCCATTTAATAATATTATATTAATGCTATTATTATTATTATTATTATTATTACTATGTACGTGTTGTTTTTTTATTTTATTTTCAATAAATTAAAATTAAAGGAAAATAAACTTGCGAAAAATTACATAAAATTCTGCGATTTTCTTTCCCTCATCTGGTTTGTGTCTGTTGTTGTTGTTGTTGTTGTTGTTGTAGCGATTCGTCAACTCCACTTAAGGGACACACCTAGGGGCCTATTCTCACTGTTACCGGTAAAGTAAATTTTGTTACTTTTCTTTAACACCCGAAAATGGAATTGTGTATTCTGGCGAACTGGTTACAATGTTTGAAAAAAATTTGGCAGCACTGCTTCTTTCGTCCATGTCAAATTACATTTGCCAGTTGATAAAGTAAAAAAGAAAAATATTCACACCGAAATGGAAGACGGTGCACAAAAAAAATAAAAAGTTTTATTAATTTGTTTATTAAATCTTAAATATTTGAACCTAATTATGGAAAATATGCCTGAACAACAAAAAAAATTAAAGGGCTATTTTTTAGTGTCGGAAACTTCTTAAAATACGGCTTTTTGCACTTTTTTCTTCATCTTCAATGAATTCCAGGCCTAAAATATGCCTACCCATTTTGGTTTTTTATTTTTTCTCAAACTTACAACTCAAAATCAAACAGCAGATATTTTTGTTACCTCCTATTTCGTGGGCAACAAAATTTACAGGGTGACAGTGAGCTCAGAATACGAAATGGTAACAAAATTTACTGAATGGTAAATTTTAATACCAAAGTAAATTTTTTTACCTCGACAGAATAGGCCTGCTAGTGTGAAATTTCCAAAATTCCATTTTTTTTCATATTTCGGTAGATTACACCTTTAAAAAAAAACACATTAAAATTTCAAATCGATATCTCAAATAGATTTTGAGTTATAGCAATTTAAAGAGCAGCCGCTCGGCAGCTAGAAAATCTCATTAGCTACGCGTGAAAACGATCATTTTATCTTTAACCACGTTTTTGATCCATGATCCGATCACTATCGAATTTTTTTGTATGTTCTATATATAGTTCTGCGTACAATGGCCTATCGATTTTTGATCTGATCAAAAAATCGAATTTTGGCAGGCCAAAAACGACCAAAATTTTGCGTAAAATTCGACTATTTTTTTAACGCCGTCATATTGTCAATATCTAGTAGAGAATTTTTTTTTAGATTTCATTTACGGAGAAAGCCGGAATCACAGCAGCAGTGAAGGACCTTTTTTCGCGCCTTTAGATCGACTATAATTTAAAAAATATTTAATTTTTTTCTTCCAAAATTTCACTGTTTATTCTTGAAACGTGTATAAATCATTCTTAAAATTTTTAAATAACTGATAAAGTAGTTTTTTTTAAATAAAAATTCCCAAAAATCACCGTCTTTTTAGGCCATTACACTAGGTGTGCCCCTTAAGAGCAGACTAGATCAGTCTTAATCATCGAGGTCATCTTTGGACCAGTTGGAAGGGGAAGTTTAGATGCGTTGGTTTTAGTATCGTGTGGAGACTCGGGCCAGATCTAAGTTGCGCCGGAATGACGCGGGACTCTCGAGGTCGAGTTCTTCGTCTATTGTTGTTGTTGTTGTTGTTGTTGTAGTGGTTCGCTAACCCCGCCTAGACACAGGTGTCATCAATCTAAGTCGCCGAGGAGTTCTTCGTCTGTAATAGGTGGTGGTTTGGCACCGAGAATGCCATTTACTGGAAGAGAGTTTAGGAAGGTGTTGACGGACTAACGTCTCTAGCGGTTGTTGTAACTGATGCTGAATGCAGTTCTTAAGGCCGCGTACTCCCCTTCAGATATACCTGTGGTGGTGGTTTAGCTTCTAATAAGCATCTATTGGAGTGTTCCCTACGGTAGCATTTCAGCAGAAATTGCTTCCAAAGCAAAGCATAGATGCTGCGCTGTGCAAGTGACGCGCAGAAGGTTTCCAAGTGCCTCGTAATTTGCCAGCAACACTTTTCTTTGTTTTTTCCAAAAGTGTTCTCAGCTAACGCTTTGAGAATTTTGTCGCGACCCTGCAGGTTTGTGGCAATCGCAGTAGTATGCGAAGTGATGGAGTGCAGGCTATAGTGAATGTGACTCCCAATAACTTCTGGTTGCCTATAATCTAGTCTTTGTACGCTGGTTAATAGTCTAGCCGAGGATTTTGCTGATTGTAGTCGTAATTGTAATTGCAGTGAAAAAGTAGGTCGTTGAGACAGCAGTTCACTTTCGAACATAAGTCATCAATGTTGTTGTTGTTGTAGCGGTTCGCCAACCCCACTTAAGAGGTCATCGAGGTCATCGAGGTCATCGAGGTCATCTAACGGCAAGTCCAGGAAATGAACTGTTTCGACGGGTTCGGAACAGAGGGAAAGAGGAGTTTAGTTGCGTCGGTTTCAGAGAAGATGTAAAGAGGTTCTTAGTATCGTGTGATGACTCTCTGCATGCAACACATACGTTGGGTATGTTTGGTTCGAATCTGGATAAGTGGGAGTTTGACTGGCTACAGTATCCTAACCTAAATCATCAATAATCTGACCTTACGCCAATACCGAGCAATCATCAGCATATTAGATCAGACGCCTTCCGGTAGTGGGAAGACACCCTTGTTCAATCTCCCTGAGTTTCGATGTTTGTCAAAAACTTTTGACAGATCCAATGGCTACCAGGACAGTTCCTGCGCAAGACTGGTGTTGACTTATGGCGTTAAGTGCAGTTGTGGTGCTGTGCACTTTACGGAAGTCATGCTAATGTGCTGCCAGTATCAGATGGTGTGTAAAAGTCGGGCACAACAAAGTCGAAGACAAGGCAATAGTCCTCTCTACAAGGGAGGGGAGAGATATGGGCCGATTAGACTTTTCCATGTTGGCTGGTTTCCCCGATTTTCCGATACTCTGTCGGGGCCGATGAATTTGAAGGCTTTCGTCTTCTCGACGAGCCCCTTCCCTGAAGAAATCAGCCATCGCGTTAGTGTTTGGCAGTTTGCGCAGACATCGGGTGCAGTGTAAGAAGTCAGTCACGAGGCGCGGTCGCCAAATTAAAATTCCACCCGGTCATCGCGTCTCGTCGACTTTGGCAACGATTAGACTACGGCTCCGAGCTTGGTTTCCCCAGAGAAGAGGTTGGTTATAGGTTCTTAAGTGCTTCTCCCACCTATTCCGCTTAGAAATGTCAACTTAACGCCGAATCTCCTTATTGAGATCCCTGGCTTAGGGATTTCCGGGATGTTGTTGTTGCGTTAATGATAGTCCTTGTACAAAGACCCTACTCTTTCGGGAGCCATCGGATTTTAGTCGCCTCTTAAAACAAGCATGCCTTACGACATTTAAATCCCTGAATTTCAAACCCGCAGAGGCACTGATTTCCGGGATCGGCGTGACGAATGGAGTCACGCCTGGATGCTGGAACCGCCGCTTCCACCATTCGAAGTGCCAGGACGAAGGGGTGGTGATGTGCTCGAAAATCCGGGAAGGAACGCTCGCCGGCAGGGTAGTCACTAGGGGTGGGTGGAGCACTGAAGGCGTTCTCAGTGAATTCTGTGAATTCGGGCCAGTTAGCTTCCAGTTAGCTTATTTTGAAGTTAGGACACGTTGAGGACGTTTTTCCCTCTTCTTGTTGATAACAACACATTAAAATTAATTGAATTCATTTTTGGAATAGCAACGTTTGAAGGGGTGCCAAATAGAAATAAAATTATACTTAATAAATTTTATTTTAAATCCATTTTAAAAAGTGTGGTTATATGATATACATGGTATATTAAAGAAAAAATATTAATTATCCTGGTCATCTTTATGGTCGGACTCGCACAATTCACCGTAGCAACCAATTTTTAGCAAGGGATCGTCATCGCTTTCTGAACTAGATGGTTCCAACTCCGGCGGACAGTAGTAGACCGTAGAGCTTTTGGGGAATGTAAGTCTTCCCACATTATATTTTAGAAAACCGCGTGCACGTTCCTTTCCAACTACACTGCCTAGGATTTCTTCTGTTACTTGAAAATACTCATTTGATCTACCCTCCTTTTGATTAGGTGTATATATTACCAATCGTTTCGGTTCTTGTGCCTTCTCTATACTCTGTGGAGTGGTTACTACTTTGTTTGGTGTAGCAGAGTTATTTGAGATAACGCCTGAAACATTACGACTGTCATGCAATGATATTTTACGATTCGCTATGGCACTTCGCTTTTTCTTAGCACGGGGCTCAGTGGCCACTACGCGGCATTGACGTGGTGTTTCATGACCAGCTTTATTGCGTTCTTTTAATGGTGGCGGAGTTGGAGCAGATTCCTCATCGGTAGCAATAGCATTTCGTGCAGTTGAATTATAATATTTTTTTGACTTTGATACCATTTTAGGCGAATTTGATGAACCATAAATTGCACTGTCGTTAATATCTGATATCTGCGGTATTTTATTCCGCTCTATATTGTAATGAACCGGCGAAGATGGAATTATCTCCGTACTCTCATGAATAGAGGGCAAACGACTGTGCAGCTGCTTGCGTCCAGCTACGGTATTGAGAGCAGTAGAATTGCAAATATTATCAATACTACTAAGGAATGTGTTCTCTTTGTCTCTTCCTTCCTCTTCTTGGGCCTGGCTTGGTAAGCTTACTTGGCGTTGTGTCTTTATTTTATTGGACCGAACTTTTGCACCAGAACTGATCTTTTTATTTGAATCCTTACTTGAAAGTGATTCGGTTGAACTGTCTTCATTATCTGCCTGTTTTAAAGGAGTAAATGAATGCATCAGGCCCTTTTCTTGTTTGGAATGTTTGTCGTAGTCTTGCAATGATAATGCTATTGCTTTTTTTAAATCCGTATCAAAGATTTCATTACTTTCACCTCCATTTTCACTTGTTTTAGACTTAGCATTTTTTTTATTTGGTTTTGCAGGCTTTTTTTCTCTGGTGCGTAGTTGAGTTAGTGCTTTCTTAGCGGCCTCTCGCCTATTAGTTAATTTAGATGGAGCAGTGTTTGTTGGATTGCAATTTAAAATATTCGATCTTGGCGGAGTACTGCATTTGTAATCTACCATAGAGAGCCGGCTGAAACACGTGGGTAGCTTAAAATATTTTTTATATATATAATTTGAGACGAAAACTTACTTGCTGTTTGTATGTAACGATTTTTTAAAAGATGTAGTTTTTGTCGCTAATGGCAGGTCCTCGGATATCAGCGCACACTGATTGGAACGTGCCCGTAAAAGTTCTCTACAGGAATAATCAGAGTCCGAGCTTGAACTGTAATCACGGCGATAATGTTTGGTAAAGTGTTCATGTACAGGTATGGCTGGTAAATCTCTTTGGCAATCTTTTCCGCTGGAGCAGCATACTTGTGAAATATGTTCTGTTGGTTTGCAACATGGGCAATCGTAAACACCGTACTTAGTAGATTTAAATAGGATTTTATGATTATGTGACCTTTTATGGTGGTTTTGACACCTTCTGTAATCTTGTATATAATTTCTACTGCGCTGTTTAGAATTATTCTTTTTTACTGATCGTATATAATGATACATTTCATCAGATATTGACGATTCCGTATCCGATTGCGAGTCGATGGTGTTAAAACTATAAACTTTACTATGACGTCGCATCCAGCCTCCCACTTCATTTTCTATGCGTACAGAATCAAATGTATTCATAATGCGCTCCAATCCTGCTTCCCTCCATTTTCGTTCGTGCTCTTCTATAATTGGACGAGTAGCATTTAACATATCTTGTACTTCCTCGGATTCTATTAAAGTATTCCTTTTTTCTTCGGTTGTCATATTCATTAGATTAATATCATCAATATCTTCATTCATTTGCTCCTCTTCCGCTTCCTCAACATCTTCCATATCGTCCTTATCCAGGTCATCTTTAAATTGTTGATCCAAACTAAGTATATCTAATTCGACTCCATCAACACGTTCAGAAAAATTCTGGGGTAAAAAAAATCAAATTTAATGGCCCGCGAAATTAACAATAAAAAAAAACTATTTAAACCTCTATTAAATTGCTCCACCAAGTGCAGCGTCTAAACGCCAGCTCCTCCAAAACATTTTCACTTATTAATGGTGTACTTGATGCCATTTTCAAAACTGAATCTTATAAATATGTATTAACTATTGTTTATTTTTTTTGTTTTGTAATCTGTATAACATATAATTTCAAAAACCCCGCTTCCATATTTGCACGTAGCAATGCCAGAGAACGTAAATATACGTCAGAGAACGTAGAATATTCTACGTTCTGTGGTTTGACAGTTCCACTTATATCTATTTCATACCCAAATCGAAAACACTTTGAAAACCTTTTCTCATATAAACTTATTATTAATTTCAGCGAGAATAAGAAACTGATTAAAGTGTTGGCATTAAGCAACTGCTCAACTGCTCAACTTTCCAAATTTTAATTTTCAAAAATGGCGTCATTTACACAAAAGCACAAATAAAAACATATAAGAATTCCTTCAGCTATGATAATGGAGAATGCAATATCAATATATTCGTGATGGTCCAAGGTTAATAAATAACTATTTATTCTCCTAGAATTGAATGGACTGTCATTAAAATGGCTGTGAGTTCTTTAAGAGAAATTTTCTTTAGGACCAAAGTTAATTTTTGACGATATTCTTAACGGCCATATTACGTTGTTCTTCTGCATTTGACCATGTCTATTCGTTTCTATATATATTACACCCGATTGTTCTCTTGTATATACATGTCATCTGTTAATTAAATTCAATATCTTAAATTTCTTGACCTAATGAAATTTCTTTGATAAATTTTCCATAAATATTTATTGATTTCTTTATTTTTGACAAAAAAAAATATTTAAATATGAAAAAATTCATATTTTTTGTTACTATGCTGATGACATTCAGTTATATTTATCTGCACCTTTTGATCAAGCTAAAGAATTATGTAAAAACATTAATACTGACTTGGCTGATATCTCCAGTTTGGCGGCTGCCAGCGGTCTAATTTTAAATAAAAACACGTGCTGTGTGCTGCCAATCAGTGCTAGAAAACTGTGATCTTTTGTCCCCAATATTCATAAACAATTGTCCCCTAAAATTATTAACTCTTATCTTACATACAAGGATCATGTACTCATTGTTAGTAAGGTCTATCTATACATCCACTGCTACCAGACCCCGACTTGCTTTACAAATTATTTTTCTGATTATCATGCACTCTGAAGTCGTATAAAGCAAACATGATAGTGTGTCGCTCGTAAAATTGAAAATTTGGTCTTTCCATGTATGAGCTCATCTCGTCTTGGAAAGATCAGATATTTGGATGTACTATCATAAAGCAAGAAATTGTATTTTTCTTTGCAAATTCATCATGACTCAATCCCTAACTATCTTTCTTCCAAGCTATTGTTTAATCGGTCCGCCAGAGTAGGAAATATTATAACACCTTTTCATAGATCACAGCAATCATCAAGGCTGTTCTTTATCAATACTAGTCGATTATGGAACTCTCTTCCAGCTAATTTAAGGAGGAAATTAAACAGAAGCAATTTCAAGAATCACATATATATATGCATTTTAAAGGCCAAATTTCAAACATAGACTGACCATTTAATAATTGTTTAAATTTCTCTTGTACTAAAAATTATATGGAAATCTTATTGTACTAATGCTTTGTTATTATTATTAAATTATTTAAATAAATTTCAATTGGGAGCAACGTCAACGTGTATTTATTATTCTATAAATAATAGATATCAGATCCTAAAGAAAACCTTAATTATCTGCCAGAGAGGTAATGAAATACAAAGAATATTGTCGAATTATTTAAGAGTATTTCCAAAAGTATTAAAAATTATGATATTGTCTTTTGACTACTAATCCCCGCTTTCTTCCAGTTGATCAGTGAAAAATGTGGAAAACCCACAAAAACGTCGAAAGGTAGTTTTTCCAAAATTATTTTTGCAATAAAAACATTCGCGAACAAATTGAGGTTAAATCGTTGAAGGAGTCCTTTTGGTTTTCGTCTTGTTTTATCAATGGCAAAGTATAAAGGTTATTCGTTACTTTAAGTAATGGTAACACTAGTCATCATATGTTAATAGCACAATCAGCTGATTGGTGCAGTCGACGAAACGTGCAATTCTCGAATACGTTGTTTATTGGCAAATAAACTTTTGAAAAAATCATCAAATAATTCATATAGATAATGGCATTTTGAAAATACAATTTTAAGAAGTTCGAGAATATATGAAGATCTGTATTTTGAGCTTATAAGAATTAACAGCAGTGAGGAGAGTGATATAATATCAAAACTTCTTGCTTACTTTATAGCAGCCGTGTGAATGTTTATGACAATTAATAATTAGCTTTTGTTAAATAAAATTTGTTTTTTAAGAAAAAATGTGGTACCTACGCCGATTCTTTACACATTTTGCTGAAGAAATAAGCACTCCAACCGATTTTATTAGTTGCTTACAACAAACTCCGAATAAGATACAAAATAGTTTTGGCGGCTCACTTAATTTAGAGAGCTTGTCGTGGTTACACAATGTAGCGCCATGTTTTCCACTTCGTGGTGATCAAATCCAAATTATACATGAGCCCAATCATTTCTATGAAACTCTGGTACAACGCAGTTCTGTGGCGCGTGAAAGAATTGTTTTGGCCAGTCTATATCTAGGCACTGGCCATATGGAAAATGCTTTCGTTCAAACATTACGCAGAAGCTTGCAACAACAATCATCACTTCGTGTCAATGTGTTATTGGATTTTACACGAGGTACTCGCGGGGATGTCAACTCAAAAACGATGCTGCTGCCTCTGGTTCGTGATTTTGGCGAACAAATGAGATTATCACTCTACCACACACCAGATCTACGCGGATTGACTAAAAGATTAGCACCACCACGATGGAATGAATTACTCGGTTTGCAACATATGAAAGTTTATCTCTTTGATGATGCAGTACTCATATCCGGCGCAAATTTATCGAATGATTACTTTACCAATCGTCAAGATCGCTATATTTTGATTGAAGACAAACCACTTGCGGATTTTTATGCACAGTTTATTTCTCGTGTGCAAGAATTTAGTTTAGCTGTGAATAAAAATGCTCAAGAAGAACTGCATAAGGATGGGAAAATATTGCCCTATGAGGGTGTGAAAGAAGAATTTATTATGCATGCAAAACAGCGTATTACAGATTTTATGCAGGTTACTTACGTACAACAGCAAAAAGCAGTCGAAGAACAGAAAGGTTTGGATAACAAAATATGTTCTTAATTATTATTTACAGGCATACATACATGTATTCACTTTATCTTCAGGAGCTGATACATGGATATTTCCCTTAGTTGAAATGGGTCAGATTGGCATTCACCATGACAGCCTTGTGACTAGACAATTACTCTCCTCTTCAATAGAAAGGTCTCGTTTAAAACTTGCCACAGGGTATTTTAATTTGACTCAAGAATATATGGATACTTTGGCTAATAATTGCTTGGCACAATGCAGTATTTTAATGGCCCATCCAAATGTATGTAAAATATTAAAATTTTCAGCCTACCAGATTTTGTGAAATATTTTATTTCAGGCAAATGGATTTCAAGGTGCTAGTGGTCCAGCTGGCGGTATACCAGCGGCATATACGCTAATAGCAAAGAAGTTTTATGAAAACCTGGTGCATTTGAAACAATCTCATCGTGTTAATTTCTTTGAATATGAGAAGGATGGTTGGACTTATCATGCCAAAGGATTATGGTAAAAAGTTTCCGTTTTGTAGGCATATGCATATATAAATAACTGACTTTCAATTGATTTAAAGGTACTATTTGCCAGGCGCTTCATATCCTAATGTTACACTTATTGGCTCTTCAAATTTTGGAGAACGCTCCGTAAATCGAGATCTAGAAACCCAAGTGTGCCTCGTTACTAATAACGATGGTCTGACTGCCCGTTTACAGGCCGAAGCTGATCGCCTTTTCAGCTCTTCAAGTACCGCCGAAAATCAAATTACCTCAAGACCTGTGCCACGTTGGGTGCAAGCTGTAGTTAGAGTATTCAGAAACTTTTTTTAAATTCTAGATTTTTCAAATTGAAAATTCCACCTCAGATTGTACGAAATATTCTTCACAAAATCGTGGCTTCCACTCTATACGATTCTTAGAGAAAAATATAGTTTTTGGGTTGGGTACACAATTGTTTAATGATTATGAGTCTTAAATTATATTACAAATTACAGAAAATATTCTATTGATTATGCATTATTTTATTTATTTTATTTCGGTGCGTTATTAAACGTTAAAATGTTGATTTTAGCAATTTTTTATAAATGGTATTCAATTTATTTTGTAAAGAAAATGTTTCATATGACTGTTTGTAATATTCAAATATATGTATGTATATGTATAGTATGTAGATAACGGTGTTAAATAAATATTTGTATATTGACATAAAATTTGGAAACACTCGAAGCACAAATAAAAATATTTAAACAAATAAAATTAGTTAACTATGCGTAAATGTATTATGAATAGCTTTTGTTTCATGACAGAAATACATTGGGAGAGGTTGGCATTCCCTGAAGAGGGGCGAAAGCAATTCGAAAAACTATTAAATGTATGCATTAATTCGTGCTTGATCAACTCCTAATACTTTTGCAAGTTCTTCTTGCATCTGGCATGCATATGCGTCGAGCAATGTCTCCAATTCTTCGTTTTGAAATTTTTTTCCGTTGTCCGTCGTCTGAGTCGAAATTGCCACTTTTAAACCGTGCAAACGACTTTTGGCACGTTGGTTCGGCTAAAGCATGATCACCATTAAAGTCCAGTAAAATACGTAATGCAAGCTAGTTTCTACAATAATCTATACATATACATAGGTGTGTAGGAGTTTGTGCAAGAAATAATATTTTCAAACACTGGACTGCCAAGTAAACAATTATTGCTTTCTTCAGTTTGTTATACAAATTTTTTCAAAGCCAAAGATATGTTCTAAATGAAAGGTGTTCTCCAAAGTTATAAGCGAAGTTCATCCAAACTAAAAAAGAAATATTCGTTTCAGATTTTTTTCAATTGACACTCGCACAAGGTTCATGCGTTTCCGATCGAAATCGGAAATGCATAAACGTTTTAATATTCTAATATGGTATTTCCACAGCTGCCCAATTACGTTGTTCGCTCTCTCAAACGTAATTCGCATACCAAATACATGCCGGATTACTTAATTCGCCATACAAAATTTTTGATAGCAAATGACACCAATTGTTGGCCATTCGTTCTGAACTACCAAGCGAATTACGACCATTCGTTCTCAACTACCAAGCGAATTACGACCATTCGTTCTCAACTACCAAGCGGATTACCAAGCGAACTTATAGAAATCAGCAGACAAAACATCACAAAATAGATTAAAACCCACATAGGAATACAATAACTTTTATTTGAAATTAAGCACTATTTCTACATTTCCACGGCATATACAATACATTATTCGACCTCTCAATTACGAACGCGAATTGCCCCATTTACTTTTTGCTACTATTTGTCAGCAAGATAATTTAAAGCACCATGACGAACAGAACTCTGGGTGAACAGATTTCAGATAAAAACTTTTTATAAGTGTTGGAAAGCAGATTACGTTTCACTCTTCCTCTTCCCTCGATAGAAGAAGAAAACAGCTGTGCTATCAACTTCATTTTCCGAATTCGCCTTGGTTCAGGTTTTGCACATCTCTGGTTGTAACGACATGATTACGTCTATTCTTCTTTATATATAATGTAAAATAACTTTTTAAATAGGTATAAAAGTCTCATGACATTTTTATTAAAGGTTCCGTGAGAGGTTTAGTTCACTCAATGTCAACAAATTTTAATTTCGCCTTGTGGCAAACGAAAACAAATTCTGCAATTTATTTTCAGATATGCTTTACAATGCTTTTTCCATTTTTCGATCTACCAAAAACGCTCTCGCACGTTTTGAAAAATTATTGTGAAATTAGCACATTTAAACACAAGCGCAAGATGTAGTCTACCTGTGACTACCCTTGAAAATTAATTTCGAAATTTTCTATATGGATTTGCAACTAGCTACCACTTACTTGCTGTGTCTGACAGCACCTTAACAATCCATTACGTTTTATTGCATGTAAAATATAAAATCTGGCAACTTTGTTGAATTCAGTGGAAAAGTACGAAAAATAGGAAGAATACAAAACTACTAATTGGTTACCAACAGATCAGCAGTTGCCGCATTTTGTCAGTTTGATTTGTGTTGTTCGGTTGGGAGTATAGGTTGACGTCAAAAAATTCTAAGAATGATAAATATATTGCGTTTTCGAATTTATTTACATTATTTAAAAATAATAAAGTGAATTAAACAACAAGGGTGCGTGTTTTATATACTATAATGATGGTCTTTGGAAGATTAAAACATGAAAACAAGTGTAAAATCCAGTTCGAATATTAATAGCGTAAATAAAAGTAAATTATAAAATAAAAATATCTACACGCAGTAACGGTAATACTAAAACATACGGGCCGTGAAACCAAAACACATAAGTGGAGGTGTATTTATCTGTCACAGTAAACACCAAACGATCTGCATTTGTGAGTTACTCCTGTCGATATTGTTGCCTTGCATCGAGCAGGTGTTGCACTTGCACATTGTACATACATACGTGCCTATGTTTATGTAAAGGAAGTTAGAAACTCGAACAGATCTGTTAAACTAGTTTTTTTGTAATAAGCATTCTCAAACTAATATGCATTTTTTCAAAATGACAAATTAATTTTGTGTTTTAGTATAAATAAACAATAAATTTAAAGTGAGTAAGTGTAAGTGGTCAGCATTTTTTCATACTTTGATGACAGTAATAATTACAAAACAATAATGAAATAATAATGAAAGCGGAAGTCGACCATTAAGAAAATTCATCCAAATACATATGTATGTGAATTCAAATGTATGGACATGCAGTATGTACATATGTTAAATCTAATGAAATTTAGTATGTAAAGAAGCTTGTGCCCTTCTTTATTCAATTGTGATTCAATTAAGAAAACGAATTTTTTTTTGGCGGTTATATATATTATTAAACATACAGTGTTTTTAACGGTATGATAACGCCGGTGATTGTAACTGACACAACGTGCCAAATTTGTTGCATATTTTTGAAATATATTCATACTTACATACATGCATACAACAATAAAAACTAAAATTTTTATGCACATACATATATTATATACATAGGAGTTATATGAGCTTGTTTTATATATTCACCAAAGGAAGATTAGTTGTCAGATTGGTGGGATTGAAAGAGTGTGGCATGTTTTGAGTAGTTTCCGTCCAACCAAACTATTAATTCAGATGTCTACAGCGAACAACTGTACAAATTGGATACATCCATCAACGAGAAGCGGCTAGAATTGGTCAATCCTAAAAGTGTCATATTCCACCAGGACAATGCTAGACCGCACCCATCTTTGGTTACTCGCTAAAAATTGAGAGAGCTTCGCTGGGAACTGTTGATACATCCACCATAAAGCCCTTGCACTTCTTTCGATTGCAAAACTCATTAAATGGCAAAACTTTCGAACATGACGAGTTTATAAAATCGCACTTGGTTCAGTTTATTGCAGATGAAGACCAAAAGTTCTATGAGCGTGGAATAATGATGTTGCCAGAAAGATGGCGAAGGGTCATAACAAGTTAATTATAAAACTAAAAAAAAAATTATTTACTTTCTTTAACAAAAATGGCTCTTTTCTTTTGGAGTAACCCAATATAATCTTGTAATTCCTTGGTTAATGTATTTACAAAAAAAAAAAATAGTTTTTTCTCACATCCAATGCTATCTTAATATTGTTTTAACATTGATATTTGACATTGTTTTAAAATTGTGTTTAACATTGATATATTTTACGAAGATACATTTTGAACCCGATTTGCAAGGAAGCTCTGGAATTTTTCCTTTAAAATATCTTGAGGAGGAGGCTTAGGAGTTTTGTAAATATGTATTGCCACACTACATTCCCTTTATGAGGAACTCTTCTTTTCCCGCCAGTTTATTAATTATTTATTTGAATAAAAATTTAAATTAAATATAACGTAAATAATAGTGAAACAACGGGCTGTCCGAACACTGGAAAAAATATATTTTCCACATATTTTTAGTTACCGGACGGCAGTATTCGTACGTTGAAAATAAGTTTTATTTTCATTTTATTGACCGGACAGTCGAATTTATTTTTGTACGAATTTTTTTTAACAAAATATGTATTCCGAATTAATTATCAATAAAACTGAACACTATCAAAACCGTTGCCTATAATAATAATTTCTTCAGTTAAAAAAACATCTCACACTAACAAAAAACAAAAAATAGATTTTTTCACATTTTCACTGTTTGCACAAAGTAAAGATTTTAAACAAAGCCGGCGAGGTAATTCTTTCAGAAAGAAACTTGCGGAGAATATAGATTAATTCGCTCTTCGAATGCATTATTTTTGATATAAAATTATTAACATTCTTTTCTGTTTTGTAAAAAAAGGCTTAGTATTGTCCGGTTACTAGCACACTTACCCTACATCATTTCAACTCAACGTAAACATATTGAACGCACATGTTAGATACATAAATTCGTCTGAATTTCTTGCAATTTGCATTCTCAAACACAAATATTCATATGTATCTATGTAGCTCTGCACTTGCTTAAAAGAAATAATCTATTTGAAAAAAAAAAAATGTTAAAAAATTTATTTGTATTTTTTCTAGGTTGTCTCTTTCGTGAAATAACCTACTAAAATTAACAATATTTTTATTGTTTTAAAATTGTAAAAACAATTGCATTTTTTAATTAATGCCATAATCTGTGCTTCGAGGTATACATATACATTAATAGACCTAGTAAAAAGTAACCCATTATTTTTGCAATTAAATTAAAGACTATGGTGAGTTAGAATTATCCGATTTATGTCAAATATGCACCGTTTTGCTCGACAAGTTTAGTTTAGAAATTTAGGTCAGTATACCTCTCCCATGGAAACCCGATTTCTACATGCTTTTCTTGCGTCAAATTCTTCACCAGCTAAATCATTCGCCATAGCGAAGAACAAATGGTAATCACTTGTTGCAAGGTACGAACTATAAGATGGATGCATAAAAATCTCCCAACCAAACTCTAGTAGCTTTAGGCGAGTCACTATCGATGTATGTGGTCTGACGTTGTCTTGTTGAAACACAATTCCTCTACAGTTGGGCAAAGCGGCGCGCCTCTGTGCGTTTGTTTCCTTCAGACGGTCCAATTGCTAACATTACAGGGTCGCATTAAGAGTTTGTCTGTAGTGAAGCGCCAAACACACAGCAAAATCACTCTGAACCTCAACCCTGGCTTGGAGATCGTTTCTTGCGTTTCACTGCCCTTCAACCTCGACAGTTTCATCTGACTTTGCTGTAAGTGTTCCACTTCTTTTACCGCCAGTTGCCATCGAATTTAGTAATGGGTCGATTTTGTTACGATTCAGCAGCGATTCGCTGGTAAAAATTCGGTCCATGAGGTGTTTTTCGTTAACTCATGTGGCACTCATATAGCCAGCCTTTTTCAAGTGGTTTCAAGCTGTTTTTTGTGCAAGCCCCTGGGCAATTAGATTTCCCATTTAAAACAAAAGAAGAAAAAAATTTTTCGTCATCATCGTCACAATTTGTTGGAGACATTATTGGGTCTAACGACTACACTCATCTGTCAATCATGAGCACCCAGTAATCATCAGTTAAAAATGAGACGGTCAGACCCGACGACTGCCATTATTTTATCGATATTTTCGAGTGGCATCTTTTATATCCAAATTATCGGAACGAAATCGAGGAAACGAAAATTGTGCATGATTGATTTTCACATTGTCGGGACCACATTTTCAGCTGCGTGGCTTGCGTTTACGCCTTGATCGAAGAGAAATTTTAGAATATGGCATATTTACCCTTGAACGCGAAATACAGATTACTAAAGTCGTTTATTGCAAAATAATGAATTACTTTTTACTAGACCAATATGTAGGTGCATAAAAGCAAATATGTACATATGAAGTTACCTAGTATGTATATAGATATGTATTTATTTTTCCTTATATTTTTTTCGTATTTCACCCCACGCAGTGTCAACTCATTGTGTAGCTACAAAATTCGTGACTTGTTCTTGTTATTGCTTTCTACTACACTTAAACAACTTAAAACCCAATAAATGTGTACTAATTCCACACCTCTGTTTCTTGCAGATACATTGCGGATCCTTTATCATACTTACATACTTACATACACACGTGTGTCTTGGAAGCGTGTTTGTTTACATTTTCCCTGCGCTTTTGTGATGTCAAGTAAATTACAGAAAATTCGCCACATTTATGTGTCAATTATTTTTTGACATTTGAATGATCACTGCAAATATCACCCAGAGCTGGCGTCTTTTGTTAAGTAAGTGATCGATCGTACGGTGAACCTAAAGTGACAAAATCAAATTAACAAATACGTGCTAAAGTATAATGAAATTAAGAAATTTAGTGTAATACGAATAAATTGGAATAACGCAAGTAACAGTGAAGACTTGTCGCCAGCAACATCCGCACGCTCACCTATGTATGTACATCAGATCAATTTTGTTTTCTGCTTTGTTAAGCTCTGTGTAGTGCGCTTGTATTGTGTTTGTGTGCGTGTAATTTCTGTTTGCTGCAATTTAGATTATTTTTAATTGCTGGCATAATTTGTCAACATAAATTCAATTAGGAAAATTGCAAATTGCTCGGTTCGCCCAACGTTTGTTAAGTGAATGTGAGCAACTAAACGAATGATAATTGGAAGTGTCACGCTACTTTATGAATAAGGTCAATTACAATAACAAAATAAAATAAAAATAAAAATAAAAATTTTTTATATGCATGTATATACATATATATACGTGTATGTGCATAAGTGAAATTGTTTTTTTTTTTTTTTTGGTTTGTGGCTTTGCAATGCATCTTCAGTGCACTTAATTTTCTTTAGCGAAAATTTTATGAATGAAAAGTGTAGAGAAAAATATGTTTACAACTCAGCGTGCCCGCTTTGTGAACAACACACCGAAACAAGAAACGAAACGCCCACACATCAAGGGGCGCCAGCAGCTTGTACTCACAGCGGCAGCACAAATAAACACGAACAACAACAGTAATAGTGCGTATAAACGCATTCGCACAATAAAATGCCGGCAAAAGTTACAACTGCTGCATCGGCTCATTCCGTCACTAAATTGTGATGCCGGTAGTGGTCGGTGTGCACTCTTCTATGCGACATTATTGGTTTTGTTTTGTGTCAGCTTCATTGATCTTGTTGTTGCGCGTGCGACGGATAGCGTTGCCGCGGCTGCAACTGCAGCGGAGTCAGTAATTACAACAACCGCTTTACGGGCAAACCACAATTACAATCATAAACAACACCATCGTAACGCTATGCTTTATGCGCGTAATAATTTCACCGATTTATCAAATTTAAGCGCAATGGATTTGATAGAGGGAAAAGGTGGCGCTGATGTTGAGGATATTATGACAGATACGGCGGTTGCTTTGCCGGCGCGTACGCCGGATGCCAAAACCAATGCAGGTGAGTTAATAGCGACACGCGTCTATTTGAGTAAAAATAATTTCAGAGTAGTAAAAATTTGACTTGACTTTTACTTAACTTACGCAATTTAGTGCGGAAAAGGCTTAACTTAATCCAATACAATATAAAATATAAAAACAAAATAAAATAAATATAAAAATAAATTAAATGAAATATAAAATCAAAAATAAAATGAAATAAAAGAAAAAAATATAAAAATACCAATAAAGATCAAATAAAATAATGCAAATTTAAATAAAATAAAATAAAATAAAATAAAATAAAATAAAGTAAAATAAAATAAAATAGAATGAAATAAAATAAAACAATAAAAATAAAATAAAAAAAATAAAATAAAATAAAATAAAGTAAATTAAAATAAAATTAAATGAAATAAAATATAATAATTTAAATTGAAATTAAATAAAATATAAAAATAAAATAAAATTAAGGAAATTAAAATGAAATTAAATGATATAAAATATAATAATTTAAACTGAAATTAAATAATATATAAAAATAAAATAAAATCAAATGAATTAAAAAACAAAAATAAAATGAAATAAAATATATCAATAAAAATAAAATATAGACATCCAATAAAACAGAACATAAAAACAAAAATAAAATTAGAAATAAAATAAAATGAAATAAAATAAAGTGGAATAAAATAAAATAGAAAAAGAAAATAAAATTAAAAAAAGTAAAATTAAATAAAATAAAATAATGAAGTAATATAAAGAAATAAAATGATAATATATTAAAAAATTTAAATTAAATTAAAAAAATAAATAAAATAAGATGAAATGAAATAAAATAAAATAGAAAAAAATAATTTATTATTTCGAAATTTCAAAGCTAAATGGCTTAATTTTATAAAATAGAAATAAATAATACTGAAAATATTTAATTCACATTTTTTATTATTTTAAGAAACAAACATTCAATTATTGAAATAAAAAGGAAAATTCGTAAATGTTTACAATATGAAAAAGTCACAAACATTTTGTATTATTCTAAAAACAAAAAATGGTCCGAAATGAATATAATAATGACGAATACACAGGTCAACAAAATTATTTTCTTCACATGAAAACTAATATCTAACTTAAATAGATTGTATTGGGCCAAGATATAATAATAATATCAACGTAAAAATGCATAAACTTTAAAAATGTTATTGCTACAAAATAACAAAATAACTAAAAAATACTTGGGTTTTCCCTGCGCCCCCAAGTCTCTTAGACACTATACCCCTTGATAACGCTTTTGCATTCAAGAAATGTCCACTTGCCTTGTTCGTCATTCACAACACTGAAATTTTTTCGGAATGAAATCCAAATGTGAGTCCAGCATAGGTATTTTTAATGACATATTTATTATACCCCAAAGCTTCATATTGCTTCATTAGCTCATTTATTAATTACTTTATAATTTTCATATTTATGGTAAGTTTTCCTAATCATTCGATTTCTCTTCAAAGGGGTTATCCTTGATCGGTTGCCTTATTTGTGTAGCAGCAAATGTTTCCTCTTTGTTTTTTTTTCTATAATTTGACGGTTCATAACTTGTGTGCCTATCTTGAGCTCCTGCATGGTGGACAAATTCCTCACTGCAATCTGGTCTTTTTGATCGACACTATGTAGTATGTACATACATAAGTAAAAATCATCAAAAAGTAAAGCAGTGTTAACCAGTGTAAATGCAGTAGACATAAAACACTTTTGAAAAATATAATAACTTTAAAACACCAAATAAGAAAACATTTATTCTATTGTGCTACAACAACATATTTACAACTTGCCTTTAGGTAAATAAACAATATTCAAAACTCATCTTTGAAGTCAATCAAATAGCTACTACATGCGCTCATACATACGAGTATGTACATATATACATATGTATGTATAAATAAATCAACATTGATTGCAACAAGCGTACGCAATATTGTTAATTCCTCTTTTCACTTTTTACTTTAACACTCTTCTTATATACAACGCCACTTGTATGTGCAACAGCACGATAACTACAGCCTAAACAGCAGCAACAGCAACAGCAACAACAACAGCAACAGGCATGCACAGGAAAACCGCTTGAATAATTGCTTTGTCATTTACAATAAAATCGTGATGTGATCGCACCGATAATAACGCCGCTGTACAAGAGAGCTCCCATGAACTTCAACAACTTGTCGAAATAGTCGAAACAAAGTTGACAGGAAGGCGAAATGATGACATGTGGTATGTGTAAGTGCGTGAGTGTGTGTGAGCGTGAGTGTGTGTCTGTGTGCGCATGGATTAGTGAGAATCCATGTGTGGACATTATTTTCTGCGGCAGGTGGCTTAAGGTCGTTCTTGCCGTGTTCGGTTAGTAAGGCAGAACAGCATTAGCAGTAGTGTCTACTGTGTATGTACAATACATATGTATATAATACACTTTATACAATGAAATATTTGAAAATTTGTTGTTCGCCCAGTCTTGTACATAGTAAATATTGTATGTAATAGATAATTCATACTCCATTTCGTGTTGCATTATCTTCGAATATGTAAGCAGTCGTGTGCATGTGTTCTTCAGCTGTAATATCTTAGTCTTCAAATAAGTGTGTTAAATATTCCAATCCACTGCTCGTATGACAAGGTTACTTCCACTTGTGTTCTGAACCAATTCTTACTCATAATACACGCTGTATGTATACACAAACACACGTGTTTGCTTTGATTTCTTGGCTGCTTTGGGATTACTAGTATACACAGTGTTTTTTTTTCCTCATTTATTTTTGTAATTTAATACTCTTTTCTTTAAGTTGTTTTGCTTGAAAAGGAAAAAAAACAGAATGTAAAAAAGAACAACGGAATCACATTAAACCTCAGCTGTTTTGTTGAACGCAAATGAAGCTCATTATAAATATTTCAATAACCAAAACGACCAAAAACCCCAAAGACAACAACTAAGTCGAGTAGGCCCGGATGAAGGCAAGAAAAGACGGCACGTCAATGCCGAAGAGGAAGGCTAAAAGCAGCTCAAATCAATGCTGTGTTTGGAAAACACTTGAAAATTACGAAAAACCGTACCCTGTAGGAAACACTAGTTTTAAATTTACATATGTCGTAGGGAGATCTAAGATTTTGAAGCAGATACCGGAAGTCCATTTCGTGCGGCAACTCAGCGAGAGCTAAGGTTTTGTTGTTGTTGTTGTTGTTGTAATCGCAAAAATATTTCCCAAAGTACTTTTTTGGGAATGCTGCGGGAGTGACAGTCCTTGACCGGATACTACTCTTCGTCGTTCCGGTATAAAGACCCGACTGTCGCGGTGACTATTAGATTTTAGTCGCCTCTTACGACAGGCATGCCTCACCGCGGGTAAATTCTGAAACCCCTAACCCGCAGGGGGTCTTGTCCCTTACTGTTATTCCTCTATGGTTTAGTTGCGTGCAATCTAATTACGTGTTGGAAAATTAAGTAAAGTTTCCACAGGTTTTGAGTGCATCGAGGGTTGAACTTTTGTCATGAAGATACCTGCCTAGATCTCTGAACTCTTCTAAAAGTCATTTTTGCAAGTAACGGTTAGCACATGGTCACACCGTAAAATATCGCTGTGTAGGATTTAGACCTGATCTTTTACCAACGGCGGTTTTGCAAGTGTGAAAGTTGTTATAACAACCTTTTTCGAGCTTTCTGCCGAGTTACGGCATCAGTTGAGTACTCTGTCTAAGATTATCGCGAAATATTCGACTTCTGTGGTGAGAGGGATCTCCTTAGTAGGGGTGGCTGAATAGGAAGTGCTTTGTATCTCCTGGTAAAAAGGACCATTTAAGTTTTGCTAGGTCCTTGCATCAGTTTCCTGCTACGTGTAGAGTGTTTCGAAGTACGTACGTATAATTTGGAGGTGCTTTCGCTGTCGCAGTTAGGACAAGGTTGTTAGGGTATATTACCACACCACAACCCGTTATGAAATCAGCGCACCACGATAGTGGCGATAAAACTCTTCTTTGAGAGGTGTCTCTTGCGTGGCTGCTGATATAGGTGTCCAGCGAAGATGGTTCTTTATCTCAGTAGAGCCTCCACAAAGCTTCACTATTGATTGTTTGGAGGCCATAGTATACATACACATATATTTTTGAGAAAACCTGGTCCCTGGCTAGAGTCAAGAATGCGATGGCTGTGTGCTTGATGTTGTTCGAAACCTCGTTTGGTACCAAAGGGCTGGGTAACCTAGTAACATTTTTGGTCGAAATGGCTCGCCTGACTCAATTTCACTTCATTCTTTATTCATCATCTTTAGTTGAGAAATTTCCTACAAGGCTTTTTGATCTTTGTATGCCAGAACATTTTTTATGTCAAATTATGCATATAATATACCCAAAAAATGAGAAGTGGCGCTGACAGGCATGTCTGCGATGATGTTACCGACTAAGAGGGGGCACGACCACAAATACCCATTATACTTTTGAGTACATCCGTTGTGGAGGTCTACCAATGTTGCTTGCACTGATTTCGTTTGGGACATATTAAAGGTTTTGTGTGACAAAGTGTACGCTTCCTCTTCAACGACGGTCACACATAGTTTTATCTTGTTTTTGGAAAGACAGTCTTTTTGTGAGTAAAATTAGAATTAATTGAAACACGGTGTTACATAATGCAAGAGAAGAGGTGACACACGTTGAACTAAAAATGTACATATATTCATATCTAATTACATATGTAAAGGGTGTTTATTTAGATTTTCATGAAAAACCGAAGCTCATATCATTTAATGTTGTGGTCAAGAATTTATGTTTAATATAAAGATGAGAGTTTGCTATTAAATTTTCAAAATGATTTCGGGCAAGTAAACACTCGAATAAATTCCGGTCGAGCGGCAGAGTTTTTGCAACAAGAACGTGGCGAATATTCTCTTTCAAGGCGTCAATCCTCTCGGGCTTCTCTGCGTAGGCAAGCGCTTGTATATATATAACCCCACAAAAAATAGTTCAACGGTTTTAAATCGAACGATCATG